AAAAATGATACCCGTTAGATTTTGGGATGTATGCTAGAAGTTATAGGCTACGATTAGTTGAATGTGCTGGTTTTGAGTATGACATGATCATGAACCAACTTGAGAGCATGACTTAAGCTGAAACTTGAACTGGGTAATCTGATAACCTGATGATGGAACTATGTGCCAAGAGTGTGTGAGAATCGTTGAGTGTTCAAACAGTTTTTGTGCAAAACAAGAACTTGTGTGGTTAGTCCTGCTAAGACAATTCAATCTAGAAGTTAGGAAGTGATCATAGGCCATTGTTCTGAAAAGTCCACAAATCGCCTAAAAGAAGGATCCAACCAAATGAAATAAATGCTCCCTTTGATCCAAATAATTTGATCCTAAAATTAAACCATTTCTTCTTAAACCCTGAACTCACTTTCCCATAATCTACTATGTTGGCCCCGGTCCCTCCTTGGACATATGCACTTCGACCTAGGCCAAAGGCCTAAGTTGAGGGTGGCTAATGTAAAAAGTAACTTCAAATCTTGGCCCTGACCCGACATCGTGTATTGTGTACCTCAACTAATGGAAAATCCATAAGTTGAGGGTGGCTATGAAAGAGGGGACTGAAAGAAAATTGGGTAGGTAAAGAGTGATGATGAACAGATAGAAAAGAAAGGATGTGACTTGTTGAAAGCTAAAAATAAAATAACAATAAAATAAAATGAGCTACATAACCTGAAGTGGCATTCGTGGTTGAAGAAAATAAAGGGAAAGAAAGTAAAACGATTGTATGGCAGAAACAGGGCAAAAAGAGGTTGAAAGCCTAGTGTAATGTCAAGGAGGGCAGAAAGTCACTAAGCAGCACCCAAATGTACCACACCTGAGCCTGAGCCTACGTTACAAGCCAAGAAAGTCCTATAGTGATCCTAGAGTCTATTTTGGAGAGTCTGAGCAGTGAAAATAAGGGCAAGCTTATGGCATTGAGCACTAACTGTTTTTGAAATTACTTCGGAGTGTGAGTGTTGAATAAATCCTGGTACCATGAATGCCATTCATTCTAGGAAAAAGGGGATTTCGTTTGAAGTAAGGACACTAGTTGCATTATCAGAAAGTTGGTATCTTGGTGATAGTGAGAAGGGGTAGGTTGTGTGTCAGTTGGTCGATCTATGTCATGGTATGAACCACATGAATTAGCTTGTCGAGTCTAAGAGAACGAATGTGCACTCCAATAATTAGGGGGTAGAGAGTTATGTGACTGCTTGGGCTTGATATGCTTGCTTCTATACAAGTGTCGTTTAGAGTTGTAGTGCGTCGCTTGAGGACAAACAACGAATTTAAGTTGAGGTCCATGATATACCGTGAGTTTACGGTATTTCTAATACGTTTCACTTACAAGTTGTGTGTATCTAAGGCCTTTTTATATTGGTTTTGATGTGTTTTTATCATGTTTTGCAGGAAAGACATTCAGGTGCGGAAGTGTAGAGACAACTGAAAGAAATGTAGAAGAAAGGCATTCACGGAGGTGATCTACGGACCGTAGGTCCATTCATGGTTCGTAGGTTATGACCGTAGATCAGCAGACAAGGCATACAGGACAAATCAGGTAAATCTGACCAAGTGTGGAACCACGGCGTATATTGACGGTCCGTAGATTGATCTACGGACCGTACTGTTGATCCGTAGGGTGATACTGCGAGGGTTCCAATACTTGATTTTTTGAAGATTCTAAGTGTGGAGCTATGGAGGGGATTGACGGACCGTAGATCGATCTACAGTCCGTACTGTTGGTCCGTCGTTTGCTTCAGAGAAGCTGATTTTTGGAAGCTGAAATATTTTCTAAGTCCTGACTGACGGAAGGGACTTACGGACCGTAGATCCATCGATGGTTCGTAAGTTGGTCTCGTGGATTGAAGACGCGTAGCTGAACAAAACTTTCCTTAATTCGTTTCCCTTTTAATTTAGGATTTGTTTTCTATAAATAAGGCATGTAAACCTCATTTTTAGGGGTTAGATCGCCTTAAGGTCGGGCTACCACCAACTTAAGGTGAGGGAGGTTGACATTCCTAAGATGACCTTCCGAACAAGATATGGTCACTATGAATTCCTAGTCATGTCTTTTGGTCTAACAAATACCCCGGCGGCATTCATGGATCTAATGAATATGGTGTTTAGGCAATATCTTGATTCTTTTGTAATTATCTTTATTGACGACATTTTGATCTATTCTAGGAGTGAGGGTGATCATATGAAACATTTGAGGATTGTATTGCAAGTCCATATAGACCACCAATTATATGCTAAGTTTAGCAAGTGTGAGTTTTGGCTAAGGTCGGTTGCTTTCCTTGGTCATATTGTGTCGGGCATAGGTATAGAGGTTGATCCTAAAAAGACAGATGCAGTCAAGAGTTGGCCTAGGCCTCTAGCTCCCACCGATATTAGAAGCTTTTTGGGTTTGGCCGGTTACTATAAGAGGTTTGTTGAAGGTTTCTCCTCTATTGACTCTCCATTAACGACCTTAACTCAAAAGAAAGCAAAGTTTGTGTGGTTAGAGGCATGTGAGAAAAGCTTCCAAGAATTGAAAGATAGGTTTACCTCTGCTCTGGTGTTGACCTTACCGGAGGGTACCGATGGGTTTGTGATATATTGTGACTCTTCTCGAGTAGGTTTGGGATGTGTCCTCATGCAACAGGGTAAAGTGATTGCCTATGCTTCAAGACAACTCAAGGTACATGAAAAGAATTATCCAACTCATGATCTAGAAACTAGCAGCGGTGGTGTTTGCTTTAAAAATATGGAGACACTATCTCTATGGGGTATATGTAGATGTGTTTACCGGCCACAAGAGTCTTCAATATGTGTTTAGCCAAAAATATTTGAATCTCTGACAAAGAAGGTGGTTAGAACTTTTAAAGGATTATGACATAAGTGTTCTTTACCACCTCGACAAAGCCAATGTAGTTGCAGATGACTTAAGTAGAATGTCCATGGGTAGTGTAGCTCATATAGAAGATGAGAAAAAGGAATTGGTTTGTGATGTGCATAGGTTGGCCCGTCTAGGTGTCCAACTTGTGGATTCCACCAAGGGTGGATTCATGGTTCATCACATTTCTGAATCATCCTTTGTGGTTGATGTAAAGTCTAAGCAATATCTTGATCCTATTTTGATGGAATTGAAAGAATCGGTTCTCAATAAGTCCATTGAGGTTTCTCCTAAGGGGGAGATGGGGGTGCTTAGGTACCAAGGTAGGTTATGTGTTTCGGATGTTAATGGTTTGAGGGAGAGAATTTTAGAAGAGGCTCATGGTTTGCGATATTCTATTCATCTGGGAGCCACCAAGATGTACCGTGACCTACGGGAATCTATTGGTGGAATGGTATGAAGAAGGATATAGTGGGATTTGTGGCAAAATGTCCTAATTGTCAACAAGTAAAGGCCGAGCACATGAAACCAAGAGGTTTGCTCCAAGGTATGAATATTATCACTTGGAAGTGAGATGAGGTGAATATGGATTTTGTTGTGGGGTTGCCTTGCACTCGAATGCAACATGATTCTATTTGGGTCATTGTTGATAAGTTGACATAATCAACCCATTTCCTTCCCGTCAAAACTACTTTCTCAGCGGAAGACTATGCTAAGTTGTACATCAAAGAAGTAGTAAAGTTGCATGGGATTCCTTTGTCCATCATATCAGATAGAGGTACTCAATTCAATTCACATTTTTGGAAGGCATTTCAAGAAGGACTTGGTACCAATGTTAAACTTCGTACCGCCTTGCACCCCAAATGGAAGGTCAAGCGGAACGGACCATTCAAACCTTAGAGGACATGTTGATGGCGAGTGTGATTGATTTCAAGGGTAATTGGGACGATCATCTTCCTTTGATAGAATTTTCCTACAATAATAGTTACCACTCTAGCATTGCCATGGCTCCGTTTGAAGCACTATATGGAAGAAGCTGTAGATCTCCAGTTAGGTGGTTTGAGGTAGGTGAGGTTTCTCTAATTGGTCCCGAACTAGTCTATGATGCCATTGAGAAAGTTTGACTAATTAGAGAAAGGTTGAAGACGGCCCAAAGTCGACAAAAGTCCTATGACGACAATAGAAGAAAGGATCTTGAATTCTAGGTTGGTGATTGGGTCTACTTGAAAATCTCGCCTATGAAAGGTGTGATGAGGCTTGGAAAGAAGGGGAACTTAGTCCCCAGTATGTGGTCCCATACCGAATCTTGAAGTGTATTGGGAAAGTTGCTTATGAGGTGGACTTGCCAAATGAGTTGGCTCCGGTTCACCCGATGTTTCATGTTTTCTTGCTCAAAAAGTGTATTGGTGATCCAATTTCTATCCTTCCTTTAGATGGTTTAGGAGTTGATGAGAACCTTTCGTATGAAGAGTTCCCGGATGAGATTTTGGACTGGCAAGTGAAAAAGTTGACGAATAAGGAAGTAGATTCCGTTAAGGTTCTATGGAGGAATCACTTAGTTGAGGGTGATACATGGGAGGCCGAGGCCGATATGAAGTCCCGTTACCCTCATCTTTTTCGTTCTACTCCTATTCAAGCTTGAGGCAAATAGTTACTCTTAAGTTTAGTGTTTTGGGAGTCATGTATGTTGTATGATTTTCCATGATTTCCCTATATTATGCATGTTCTTGTGAGTAATTCATGTTTAGTATATATTGAGTTTTCATGATGTTCCTCATGTTGATTTGCATTTTTGTATGATGATTGCATTATTGACTCCATGGGGTAAAATGATGAACATGCTTAATGATGTGTTGAGGAGATGACATGTTGGCTCTATATTGTTGTGTTGAGCTTACTTGAGTTGGAGAAGTTAGTTCCTCCCATGCTTATGTGAATTGATGGGTTGCATGCATATTGAGTTAGTAGAAGTAGTTCCTACTTTCTTATATTGTTTTGGCTATGTTGTGAATTGGAGTGGAAGTTTCCTCCTTTTTGAATAGTGCAAGTTGTGAATGGTGCATTTGTTAGTTTTGCACATTTTTTATATTTCTTGTATTATGGGCTGTTGGTTTAGAGTTTCTAACTTAGTTTGGTGTCTTGGTCGACATTAGGGGACGAATGTTTCAAAGGGGGAGATAGTGTAACACTCCGTATATCTAATGACCTAAGCTAGAGCCTAACGTGTAGTCTAGTAGCCTAATGAAGTTAAAACGTAAGGTGAGAGCCTTAAAATAACTTCCCTAACTTGGTACTAAGGTCCTAGTGCCTAAACGTCAAGGCATGGCTCCCACAAGGACCCCCTAAGGGTCCTTGTTGAGAGCCAAGGGGCAGCTCTAAAAGCTGCCAAAAGTAGCATCACCCACAAAACCAAGGACCACGAACCATGGACTGACTCACACCCCGTAAATGGAAGTCGTGAGTAAGGACTTAGTCTCCTCAATTGAACCCCAAAGAGACCTCGCCTCAGTACAAATCCACAAGTATGCAGTACGGTCCATGGACCGACTCACTCTCCGTGGAAAGGTCTCGTGACTTGAGACTTAGTCTCCTCACCAAGACCTCGAACGACCCCTCTCTGAACCAAACCACGGTCAGACAAGATGGTCCGTGGACCCATCCATGCTTTGTGGTTTGGGGTTCGTGGATCGTTCCTGGACAAGTTGTCTTGGTTCGACCTTAGTGAGGGTGTTTTGGTAAAATACTAATTAATTTGTTTAAGGGTAAGGAAGATTATTATAAGTTGTTTTAAGTATATTAAAGAGTTTTTAACTATTAAACAAGTCTTTTAACCCTCATAACTCACAAACTCAAACTCAACCAACTTCCCTCCCAAAAATATACTCTCTCTAAATTACTCCATTGAAGAACCAAGAAGAAGCTCAAGATTAGGGTTCAAGCTCCAAGCTTTTCACTCCAATTTCATGAGAAAACATCAATTAAGGTATGGGGACTTTGATTCATGGAACACTTTTCTCCATGAACCCCTTCAACTCTTGATTACGAAATTGGTAACTTGTTCAAAAACTAGGGTTTCTATTCCAACCATGGGTTCTTCCTAAAAATGATTATATTAGGTTAATTGCATTATATTATGGATGATTTGATGTTAAATGGTTATTTTCATTGTAAAATTACCCTTGAACCCATGAACACCCCTATAACCCCAATTTCAAGTATTGTGATGGGTGTGTTGATGCAAGATGACTACTATGAATTGTTTCTATGTGAATTTTGTTGTTGAATCTTGTTTTGTTCATGCCTATTGTAGTATCTGTAGGTGTAATTGTGAGACATGATTCATGGCCTTGAAAAGGGGTAAATTTCTAGGGTTTGTACATGTTGATGAAAGTTGTGTATAACCTATTGATTCATTTAGAAAGTAAATCTCCTATGACTAACGTGTAAAGTATGGTATTGTTGAAAGGTTGTTCTTCCCTTACCCTTATACTTGATGATTCATGAATAGTCTAGGATGATGATGATGTATTGTGTTGATTTAAAGTCTATTTCTCATGAAAGCACTATGAATGTAATGTGAAAGTCCTACTCACACACTAGTGTTGATTCTAAGGTTGAAAGTACATTCTCACCTTTAATGAATCTATGAGCTATTTTGATGGATTGTATTGAATGAGGGATAGAGCATTCCTTCACACATGTGAATGCAATTCAAGACTTAATTATGTATAATTTGGGAAATAATGCTTAGCATCGAGTGGATATGGAAAATGAGGTAAAGGCCCTTCCGCCAATGCAATTTTGGTATGGGGTTACATGACAGCGGATTCAATGAAACACACATGGTCTATGTCGGTTATGGCTATTATTCCCTAAATGAATGATAATGAATGGTACATGGAATATTTTTTTGACTTTTTGGTGAGTTTACTTAGTAGGAGTGGGGGTATTGGACTTCACTTCCACTTTGCACAAGTGGACTTAGTAGGATGTTGTGGGATGATTCCTTTATTATTGTGATGAGATACAAATGCATACTTATGTCTTGAATGGTTAGTTGTTATGAATGACTTTCCTTGTATTCAAAGTAATGTTGATGACTATTTACTTATTGGTGACTAATGATTTTAATGAGGTCTAAAGATGAGATGCATGACCAAGGGAGTTTCAAGGGAGCACTTAGTAGGGTTGGTATTATGGGATGCCAACCATACATTGCACAAGTGTTCCTTAGAGGTTGCTAAGGTGTTTATATCACCATGTAATGAGTGTAAATGTGATTATGGCTTGTGTTGTACATTGAAAATGCATGTTGGTTCCTAAACTTGACAAAGGCATACTTTCCAAACAAAAATGTCCTTTTTATCATATTTAAGGATTTTATGCATGTTTCCATACTTAGTACATATTATGTGCTAACCCCTTCTTCCTTCTATATCTTAATGAGTGTAGGTTCCGGCTATGTGACTTTCACTCTCCTTTTGAAGAAGATTTGGATTGCTTATCTCCAAGTTGTGGTGAGTCCTCAAGTTCGAGGACGGGATTTCCTATTTCTTAGTTCTATTGTACTTCTCATGTTGAGACTTTCATTGATGTATAAGGGCTAAGTCCCAAACCTTGTATTCCTATGTTTTAGATGGTTGTATGAGACAAAGTCTAGATTTCCTATTACTTTCTTTTATGAAAAGTGAAGTTGGACTTCGATTGTAAAGTTTCAAATTTTTCCGCATTATTTCAATGTATTATGTAATGATGATGCTAGAGGCCTGTGTGACATCCCTTTGGGGTCAAGTACGCTGTGTCACGCCTAGGGGGTACTCCCGTGTCGTGACATTTACCTACTTCGGGGATCGTTTGACTGTGAAAATGGGCCATTTTGGTCGTGAGAGCCAACTGGCTCCATAGCTAAGGTCTTAACAAATCTCCATGAAAAATTTAGGCAAAAATAAGATCAGAATTTTGGATCACCAAAAAAGATGGTGAACTATAGCACACAAAAATTGACAAAATAGGGGGTTTACCTGCTCCAGGGTTTGTTTGACCTTAGAAACGGGCCGTTTTGGCCGTGAGGGTCATTTGGTTCCATAGCTAAGGTCTTAACGGATGTCCATGAAAAATTTCGGCAAAAATGAGGTTGCAATTCCAAATCACCAAAAAAGATGGGGAACTATAGCACTCGAAAATCAACAAAATGGGGAGTTTACCTGCTCCGGGGTTGGTTCGAGCTTGAAAATGGGCCGTTTTGATCATGAGGGTCAACTGGCTTCATAGCTAAGGTCTTAAGGGACGTCCATGAAATATTTTGGCAAAAATGAGTTTGGAATTCTGTATCACCAAAAATGATGGTGAAATATAGCACACGAAAATGGGCAAAATGGGAGGTTTACCTGCTCCGGGGCTCGTTCGACCTTGAAAAAAGGCCGTTTTGGCCATGAGGGCCAACTAGATCCATAATTAAGGTCTTAACGGACGTCCATGAAAAATTTTGGCAAAAATGAGGTCGGAATTCTGGATCACTAAAAAAGACATGGACTATGCATACGAAAATAGACAAAATGGGGGGTTTACCTTCTCAGGGGCTCGTTTGACCTTGAAAATAGGCTGTTTTGGCTGTAAGGGCCAACTTGCTCCATAGCTAAGGTCTAAACAGACGTCCATGAAAAATTTTGGCAAAAAAGAGGTCGAAATTTTGGATGACCAAAAAAGATGGTGAACTATAGCACACGTAAATTGGCAAAATAGGGGGTTTACCTGCTCTGGGGATTGTTTGACCTTGAAAATGGGTCGTTTTGCCCATGAGGGCCAACTGGCTCCATATCTAAGGTCTGAATAGATGTCTATGAAAATTTTTGGCAAAAATAAGATCAAAATTTCGGATCAACAAAAAAGATTGTGTACTATAGCACGCGAAAATTGGCAAAATGGGGGGTTTACCTACTCTAGGGTTCGTATGACCTTTAAAATAGGCTGTTTTGGCCGTGAGGGACAATGGATCCATAACTAAGGTATTAACAGAAGTCCATGAAAAATCTCGATAAAAATGAAATCGGAATTCAGGATGACCAAAAAAGATGGTCAACTATAGCACACGAAAATTGGCAAAATGAGGGGTTTACCTGCTCCGGGGATGTTTGACCTTGAAAATGGGCCGTTTTGGCCGTCAAGGCAAACTGCACCGTAGTTGCCTAGCTAGGGTCTTAATGGATGCCCATGAAAATTTTTGGCAAAAATTAGGTCGAAATTCTGGATCACCAAAAAAAATGGTGAACTGTAGCACACGAAAATTGGTAAAATTGGGGGTTTACCTGCTCCGGGGCTCATTTGACCTTGAAAATAAGCTGTTTTGGCCAGGAGAGCGAATTGGCTACACAACTAAGGTTTTAACGGACGTCCATGAAATTTTTGTCACAAATGAGGTCGGATTCCAGATTACCACAAAATAGGGGATTTACTTGCTCCGGGACTCGTTTGACCTTGAAAATGGGTCGTTTTAGCCGTAAGGGCCAACTGGCTCCATAGCTAAGGTCTTAATGGACG